AGCGAAAATGCAAAAAAGCAGTTGCAGCACAAACGCGACTGCACAAACCAAATTTTGAAAGCTGTAATGGCAATTAACAGCAACACCTTAGCTGATATGGAGGTGCCTGAATCATATGTTGAGAATCTTCCTAAGGTACCATTTCCTTGAGATATTGACTCTTACGCTTATGCAACTAAAACCATCAGATTGTTGCTGATTTGGCATTGGATTTTATCCCCCTACAGAACGGAAAAGCTAGCTTAGGTGATCTTATCCACCGATATATCACCTCAGATCAATTTTCACCTGAATGTTTGCTCGACTGCCTTGATTTGTCGTCTGAGCATCAAGCATTAGAAATAGGAAACCGAGTAGAGGCCTCAATTTATGTGTGGCGCAGAAGAACTCAGGCAAAATCCAGTCTCCTCCGATCCAATTCAAAGTCCTCATGGGAAATGGTTAAAGATTTGATGATTGATGTTGATAAGAGGGACCTACTTGCAGATAGAGCTGAAAGCCTTTTGCTTTGCTTAAGACAACGGTTTCCTGGTCTTCCTCAGACCACCTTAGACATGAGCAAGATCCAACATAACAAGGTTTTCACTTGAATCAACTCAACGTTTACTGTCATTTTTCTCTCTCGACCAATTATCGTTATAATACATCAGTACTACTACTATTGTCTTGTTTAGCAAACTCAAGTTTGACAACTGTTGTTCAATGATGTTCTTAGGATGTTGGAAAATCAATCCTGGAGAGCTACTCAAGAGTTCTTGAGAGCCTGGCATTCAATATTGTTGCTCGTATCGATGATCTTATTTACGTGGATAACTTAACACAGCTCTCAGACCAATTTGTTCCAATCTCCAAAGTAGGCATCATTTCTCATAAAATCATTGGAACTCCAATCTCAGTACACGTCTCGGGTAGTCAGATCAAAGCTCCTTTCACGACACCAATCTCGTCTTCCCAGCATATTAGTCCAGCAAAAGGAGACAGATCACAATTCCTTGACAACAACAAGACTTCTCAGTTTGGTTTTGGCGTGAAAAAGATGTTAACTGATTATTGGAGCGTTGATTCGAATGGGAAGGACATCAGCAATGAGCTTAAGAGATTAGATTCAGCAACAGCATCGGTAGGCTCCTCCTCTGAATGTTCAAGAGAAATTGTAAGTCCATCCACACATGACTTACTCAAAGAAGCATAAGTTTTTATTGATAAAGTTAGCTCCTTCAAACATATTGTCACTGATGATATAGAAAAGGGTACCTCTAGTGTGATATAGGTTCAATATTACGTTATTTAAAACGTTCATTGAGCGATTTCTTTATGATACAACATTAATATTCTCTATCCTGGCAACATTTCTTCTGTTGTGCAGTTTTGTTATCTTTCTTACAGGCTTAAAATGTGATGGCAGTGATGAACTTACAATGTATAAAACTATATTGATCGTCCCCGTTACCATGTATATTTATCAGCCAGTGATACTGCTACCTAAATGTATTTTATTTCCAGTAATGCTAGTACTAAAGATTGCTTCTGTTTCAGCATTTTGTACAAAAAAAGTTGGTCAAACCCATCGGTGGCCTCCTAAAGTTGTCATCAAGTTTCACTTAGACACCTTAATTGACCGATGTTCATTTTAGACACCTCATGTCATGTTCCGCTGTGTCATTTTGACATTTTTTGCTAGCATGACACATTGTGTGTGTTACAAATTATTAGTGTGCTACCTAAATGAATAGTTTGCTGTGAAGCAAAAAAAAGGCTACAAATTATTAGTTGGGGCATTCCGAGAATTGAACTCGGGACCTCTCGCACCCTAAGCGAGAATCATACCACTAGACCAAATGCCCAGATTGGTTATAAAACTAAATGTAGTATATATATCTTTTTACTCGTCTAATTTATGAAATCAAGAGAATTTTAGTATGTATATTTTTTTCATTCTATTCTTAGTATTAAATAACTATATAAAGTAGTAATAGTCAAATTTATACTTTGAAAACATCATTAATAAAGTTAGTTTTGTAATTACACCTTTAATTAAAGTTTTCTTAAAAGATGTGTCAAGTCAACATGAGTCAAGTAATATGAAACGACAGAGCGTTTACACTAAAAAAACGTTCATCTTGGCCTTGGCTGTTGCATGTGCTAGGAATTTGGAAATAAGATGTTTTTTTCTCACCCAACGGCTTCAAAACGCAATGGCATTAGTCCTTTTAGCTGTACTTAGATTTAACAACAACAATATATATACCCGTATAATTTTGTATTTGGGATCTGAAAAGATTAATGTGTACGCAATTTTATCGTTATTTTAAGAAGATAAAGAGACTGTTTCTGATTTTTTTTCTTTAAAGAATTGATTTTTATAACTTGAACCGCTGAATCTTTAAGGTGCTCGAGTGTGATTTTATGTCCGTGTTCTTTAATTCTTATTATATACTCAAATCACGGAGCCATTAAACCAACAAATCGTTGTCCCGGGTTTGATCCCCGGGAACGGCATATTTATTTTTGTTATTTTATCGATATTGGATCAAATGACCTTTCAAATTTTTATCTCTAAAAACAAAAATCTCTTAAAAAGAAAAAAAAAAGTATAAAAAATTATTATATCAATATCACAATAAGAAAAAGAGACATGTTACTATGTTAGTATATCGACACATATACATATATCTTTATCAATTATAATAAGTAGGATTGATTGAACTTCATTTTCATCCTCATATTAACCTGTCTTTGTCCAACATAAAATAAAATATACTATTATATCATATTACAATAAATAAATAAAAAGACATGTTACTATGTTAGTATATCGACACATATACATATATTTTTATCAATTATAATAAGTAGCATTGATTGAACTTCATTTTCATCCTCATATTAACCTGTCTTTGAAAAAAAAAGTATAAAAAATTATTATATCATATCACAATAAAAAAAAAAAAGAGACATGTTACTATGTTAGTATATCGACACATATACATATATTTTTTATCAATTATAATAAGTAGCATTGATTGAACTTCATTTTCATCCTCATATTAACCTGTCTTTGTCCAAAAAAATAAAAAATAAAATTAGTTGGGATATGGAACAATTATTAAAGTTATCTAAAGATAAGTCAGTTTTAGACGGTTAGTCGGTGGACAAAAATAAAATGGATAAGAAAATTATTGAAAGCATAATATGATTCCAACAGTAATATTAATTGTGTGTATTTGACAACCAAGAGTTCTTTATCTACACAACTAGTTAAAGTTTTGATTGGACAATGAACCAAAAAAATGAAATAAACATTGGTATTATCAAAAGACAACTTCTAGAATAAAATATCTAGAGATAATGTTGATCTTGAATAATAACCATAGAAGGAGGACAAATAGTTACATTCAAATGTTCTAATTAACCAAGTCATTTTCATTGTAATATTCGTTTATATTCATATAAGAGGTCTTTAAATTCTGGAAAAGAAATTGTCTTTGGTTAATAATGTGTCTTTTTTAAATAGTAATAATGGGATGATAAGTATTATATTTATGAATCTCAATTTTCATTTCTGATAATGAGGACGTTTTTAGTGAGGAACAAGTCTTTTTTATCATCACTACAAATATTATTCTGGATGGTAAGTGTATATTCATCTTTAAATAAAAGTCTCTGCTTCAAACCTGGAAAATGAAACCGCCTTTAACGAAAGTGAATCTCATGGAAAAGTAAGTATTCCTCGTCATTTAGTCAAGATCATAGTGATGACAGTGGAAGAAGATTCTGGTCACTTTTCAGTAGTGATAGGGTTGTATTAGAAATTAGCTCTTGACCTATTTTTATTTGTCTTGATGATGAACAAACGCGCTACCAAGCTGCGCCACATCCCTTCAATTGTTCCACAGTGTAATTGTAGAGAATTCCTGTCTTGTTTTCCACATGGTTATTTCCTCCATTGATATATACAAATTTCTGCTCATTTCGTCTTTTTGGTCTCATTTAACATATAATAGTAAAGGGAAAAGACTTCTCTTATAGATTATATAGAAAATACTTATATACAATTATATACAAAATATATAAATACAGAACCCGTCGTAAAAATAAATTAGTCTTTTTCGGAAATTCTCGGTAAGAAAGAAGGGGATGTATTTTTTTTTTCTGTTTTAAGAAAAGGAAAATCTTATTTCCCGAATCATTGTACATTTCAATTTGAATTAGGAATTCTGTGTCCAACTCTAAGCAGCCCTTAACTACATATGCATCTGATCATATATGTATTATCTATTCCAACAAATAATACAAAAGAAGGAGGTTTTTCAATGCGAGATCTAAAAACATATCTCTCTGTGGCACCAGTACTAAGTACGCTATGGTTCGGGGCTTTAGCAGGTCTATTGATAGAGATTAATCAAGGAGAGGTGTCATTGTGTATGTTATGAGATGAGACACAACGGAGTTAATGATATGCTAAAACTTGGAAATAAACCTTTTAGTCTAAAGGGTTCAGATTGAGTTAGACTAAGGTATAATACTTCGAGTACAAGTTCAGTGATGTAACTCACGTGACAAATGTTGATATAAGGATGATACACAAGTCATCTTCAAAAAAGAAAGTATTAAATATGTGGGGACAACAATCCAAGAAAATGAAGAGATTAATGATGCTATTGTACAGCATAAAATGGGTGGTTGAAATAAAAACTTCAATTTAGTGTCTTGTGTGATAAGAATGTGCCACCAAACCTTAAAAGGTGAATTTTATAAATTGTGGTCAAACCACGTATGTTATATGAGACGGAATGATGATCGATCAAGATCAAGAACTACGTACACGTCTAGAAGATAAAGAGTAACAAAAATAAGAATGAGATGAATATGTAGGCATACTAAAAGTGTTAGGGTTAAGAATGAAGCTACTTAGGACATGAAGGTGACAACCTCCATTGTGGACAAGATAAGGGAAACGGGGTGAGACAATACAGCCATATAAAGTGAAGATACATCGATCCGCTCAAGTCAATGAGACCTAAATTCCACTTATGAGATTACACTGAACATATTGTTGTTGTTTGGAATTAAACTTGACACAAATTTAAAGGAGTAAAGAAACTCTTTTACCCAAACAAAAAAAAGTCCATAGGCACAAAAGTTGTAAGCTAGTTCCTAAACATTGTCTTCACATTATAAAGCAAAGTGCATAAGGTCTATAATCCTTTACATGTAACAGAAAAAGACTAATTAACTACCAATTACATATACTAATATTATTATAATTATAATCTGTAGTGTTCAACCAACTACTGGTCTCTTTGGCTAATTACTAGTAATCATCCATCTTTAATATTTGAGGTAGATAACTGCTTCTCTATATCTTTAACTTCCTGCCACAAGACAGAAAAAATTCAACAAAAAGAACATATAACATGATAGGTGCAAAATGATAAGAAGATAAATCAATATTAGTAGTATGTTTCAAGCATAAATAAAATCAAAATAAAAGTTGCATGGAATTTAAGGTAAGATTAGAATCAACAAGCAAATGCCTACAAGACCTAAAAATTAGGTAAGCAATTGCGAACGAGGATACTTTGTGCACCAGACTGGTCTTTTATTAAAGAGAGATAGCAAAAACCAAAGGAACTTACTATCAAGAATAAGATAAACATAACCAAGTCTTTTGTATACCTTTGAAAATATGTAACATCCATGTCATTGGTGGTGAGCTCTAGTAGTAAAGAGACCCTGCAAAATTAAAAACCATGTATTGTTAATAAATAATAAGAATGAGATTCATCATACGCGAATAAGAACATTAACATTATGCGTACGTCATGAGTTTGAACTCTACGCGGACGGAAGTTATGTTTGAGTGAAAAAAGGTAGACAGACGCGCCTATTATCCACTGAGTTTCGAACTGTGTGCCAAAAGACCCTAAAAAATAATCAAAACTACATACCTTGCCACCAGTTTCCTCGAGACGCACTGCCAGAATCATCTTCTCCATTATCTTTGCTGAACTGCGCTCAATTCGAAATCAAAGAAGAAGAAAATTAGAAACATAAGAATAAGCAAATGACCTTAAGAACACAGGTGATGGTTCTAACCCTTGCCTAATTGACTCTGCCTTATAACTCTAATTAAAATGGGATATAAACAATGAATTACAAGTCTCCCTCATATCGGTAGGGAGCAAAAACCGATCATCTATTTCTTCAATGACAGCTTCAGCACCTAAAATCCAGGCTTCCTCGACGTTCTTGAAAAAGTAATCCAATCAATATCTGTCTCAAATACTTCCACTGGCAGATCAAACACCTAAAATCCAGGCCTCCTTGACGTTCTTTTGGTTTGAACCATGTGTTCGTGCATTATATGCAAAATTAAAGATAGTGAATATGTAGTACATATACATGTACATAATTGAACATAATCACTATGAACCCACAAACTCTAAATTCCGAATTGAGATACTTCTATCATGCAATTTAACAATATACAAACACTTAAATGTTCTAATAAAAACTACATCATCTTGCAAGGAGCAAAAGATCATTAACAAAGGAACCATTAGTAAACATAGAAGCGTTGCACCAATAGATCTCAATACCATGCAATTTTGTCTTTTACTTTTTATACGCGAGAATATGTACTCACAGTTGTGTATGTAGAGCTCTGATTATTATTTTGGGGAAATGAATAGACATCTTGGCCCCCGTAGTATATCGATGAGCTAAGATGGCATGGCTGTACTTTTTCGTTCTGATAAAATGAACTCGGCTGCTTGTTTTGTGCAGCCTGCTGGCTGGAAGCTTCATTGCTAGTAGGAGTACTTCCTGCAAAACGGAAGTGGAAAAAATATAAAGCAGGTTGAAATTCACGTTTTTATCGGTATGAAATATACAAGAAAAATGTCAAATAAACAAATATTTCGATATTCAGAGGAATTCATTGTATATATCCTTCACTAAAAGAAATGGAACTAGCCATTAAAGCATAATTTCAAAGAGACTACTCTCACCACAAGTGGAAAGCTTATATTTATGCAATTTACATAAATGAAATCTAATCTTGCTCAGACTCTTCAAAAGTTTCGCATGTCAGCAACTCCAGAAATAGTGCCTTTGTGGAGTATGCAATAACACTATTGGCGAGTCCGAGCACCATAGATTATTAGATTGTGATTAGGAATAAGAGTTGATCTTCTTCAATTCTACTATAGACTAACCACAATACAAAATCTGGTAACATTTTCGTTGTGTGCTTAAGGAATTACCCTAATGAGGGTTCCCCTGCTACATTACAATACCTTACTCTTAATACACGAGGAGCTCTAGCTGAATATTTTACGAATCGTGAACAAATATACCTACTTTAATCATTTCCATTATATACTACAATATACAAGCAATTGAGGCTAATTACTCATATGATCTCTCAACTAATAGTTATTATCTCAGAAAGTCGCGTTTCTTCACTATACCTACTTCAATCATTTCCATTATATACTACAATATACAAGCAATCGAGGCTAATTTCTCATATGATCACTCAATTAATAGTTATTATCTCAGAAAGTCACGTTCTATCAGGTCCAAAGCTATTAACTTCACTAACCTGAGTATCCACCTTTAGCATTTCTATCCTGAATCACAGGATCATGCTTCAATTGCTCCGAATTCATCGATCCATGTCCCTTAAACACGACGAAAAGAATAATATGAGATCATAGCCAATATAACATCCAAAATACTAGGAAAGAACATTCTATTTAAGTTTAGCATTACCTTTTGTCAAAAAGACATCATCACTAAAATTAATAGTACAAACCAAACAGAATATAGCAACTTCTGCTTTTCCTATTCTATTCTATTCTTGTCTAAAAAAGATTCTATCAAAAAAAAAAAAAACAAACTCAAAATTCAAAATTTAAGCTAAAATTCCACAATTCTTAAAGGGAATCAAGAAAACAATATTCTCAAAGCCCCACTCTTTTCACTTTTTTTATTTTATTTTTTTCCCCAATTTTTTTAACCTAAAACAACAAAATATCAAGAAAAATATAAACTTGAAGGAAAAAAATCCTTTTTTTCTCCTTAAACAACAATCAAATGTTACAAATTTATGAAAAAAATCATAAAATACCATTATTCATTACAAAAATTATAAAATTTCATTAAAAAAAAAGAATGATACCTTGGAAGGAGGGAAAATGGAACCAAAAATTGAAGAAGATGAAGAAGCTGAAGTTTCTTTAGAACCAAAAAGATCAGAAGTAAATGAAGAACTGCTAGTTTTTTTTGTTCCTTCCATTTTATTTTTTTTAATTTTATTTTTTCTTCTTCAACAACAAAATAAAATAAAATAAAATAAACTTTGGTTGAAATTTGAGGAGATTCAAGTGAGTTTTTATAGGAAAAAGCACCGTAAAAAAAAGGATCAGATAAAACGTAAAAGGCCCACAGCCTTTTAATTTCTCCAGAAAAAAAAAACAGAGGAAAAAGTGAAAATAAAGGAAGAGAGAGAGAGACACGTGAAAAGATGGGTGACGCAATTTTAATTTTAATTTTAGTTGTAGCAATGAGAAAAGAAAAAATAATTAAATAATCTATATATTATAATTTATTGTAACGACCCAAAAATAGACGTGATGACACTCGTCTTAACCCACCAAGACAAGTCAGCCTAAAACTCAACCATTACAATAAAATGCAGAAATTTTTATAATAAACTCAAATATACCCCCAAAATCTGGTTGTCACGTGTACAAGCCTCTAAA